ACGATATGCAATGTGTTCAGTTTCAAATAACCATCATTAGGGCTTTTCTCCTCCTTTCCAGAATACCTCCACTGCTTTAGTATGGTATTACTTTACCCTATCCTCTGGTGTGCACGCATTTCCCCACAGCTTGGTATCATCTGTGAACTTAATCATTGAGCTTTCCACCGCTTCATCCAAGTCATTAATAAATATGTTAAAGATCATGGGTCCAACCACAGGTCCCCGGGGGATGCCGCTGGAGATGGCCCTCCAGGATGAGGCCATCCTATTGATTACAACTCTCTGGGATTGGTCTGTAAGCCAGTTGTCCGCCCAGAACCTGGTCTGCTAATTCTACAGTCAGCCTTTTCTGCACGCTATAGTTGTACCATTTTAAATATTACAACTGAAGTGATGCAACCCTCATGCATAGATGCAGTTATGTCAATATAGACATGCTTATACCGATAGAGATTATTCTCATATGGAAGCCTTTACTGCTGTACTACTACTACTGGTATAATTACATTAGTAAAAATTGTATGCCTAAATATAACAGTTGTAACAGTGAAAAATGCTAGGTACACCAGACTTTGGTGAGGTTGTCTAAATTAGGATTTAAAGGTGTAATGTTATAAACTAACTAACTCCATCTGAATAACATTTGCAGAAAGTCAGCTTAAGGCACAGCAGTTGCCTCATGCTAAAAGTCAATTTCTTTGTCCTTAACTGGAGTTCTAGTTAAATCATATTACCCAGCACAATCTAAAATCACACCTTTAAATTTAAACCTTGGAAACATCTGCAAAGAGACTTAGGCTCTATTTGGGTGTAAGTGCCATATATATAATGGAAAACTATTCGTATTGACATTATTTAATGAGTAGGCTTGTTTTAACATGAATATCCTACTGAGCTTTAATGTACATATTTCAATGCTGTCTCCTTACTAGTTTTCAGTAAATGATAGTGTAACCCCAAATTCCAAAGGATATTGTTGTATAAGTGACTTTTACTGGAATAATGCCTGAGCATACATTAATATGGAAAACTGTACAGTTTGGTAACATCATCAAGATAGTCTGTTGTCCTTTATAGCAAAGGCAATGAAATAAAAGATTGTAAAACTGCTTTTACCTATATGGTCCCATTGATCTTCTTCCACATGGGCATTCAGTACATGGCTTCACTGAAATCAGGCAAAATTGCCTTAAATTCTTTAGGAGCAGGATCAGGTCCCATATGTCAAATATTAAAGCAATGGTAGCTCTTGACCATTGAGCTTTATTGGAATGTAATTACTTTAAGTACTGGCTGTTACTATGAAAAAGTTGGAATGCAATTATTGAGAGAGCATGTGGTATGCTTTCCATTGATTTGACTGTCCTGGTTGATTAAATTCCTCAGGATTTTTAATTTTCTGGTTCTAATCGTTGCCTTACATCTTTCTTGAAACTCTTTGTTGTAACTCATCTGCTTTCAAGTCCAGATTTATTTTTTAGTGCATTCAGATCCTCTGCAAACATTCCCTGTCATTGTGTGTTATCTGTCTCTGCAGATGGTTCTTTAGTGGAAAGTTTCTTCTGAGTGAATCCTGTAAATATCCTTCACACTTTTCAGAGGTCAAATATATCATCTCAAGGTCTAAATTGCTCTAACCAAGCAGTATTTTGACAAGAAGCACGTATCTTTTCCAGGGAGTTCTCTAGATTTTAGGCTTTTTCTTATCTCCAAGATAACTTTGCCTCCCTGCTTCTTTGCTCCCCAAAGAGAGAGCATCAGTCAGGATTCCATCATTCATAAATATACATTTTAGTTCCTTCACTTTCAGTGATGTAAATTAGAAACTACTTTGTCAAAGACAATAGAGTCAAACTGGTGTGAGTGAGAACTGAATCATAACTTTGAAGCTGTCTTCTGAATTCAGGGGTCTAGTGTAAAGGAATTGGTAAAGAATAGAAATAAATAACTTTCCAATAGGGCCAATAGGTAATATAAGACTTAGTGCAGAAAGTTCACATACAGGTTTTCCTCACTTTATGCGAGTTCTGTATGTGCGAATTTGCTTTTATGCGATGATCCTTTTTTATACCAAAAATATGCGAGGTAAAGTCACTCTTATGCGATTGGTATGGTGGAAGCCTGAGGTCAGGTGCTTTGTGCAGTGCATTGTGGGACTGACATACAACAAAATAAAGTCTCCTGTGTGGATCTGTACTCCTTGCTTGTTGTCTGCGACACGTTTTTCTGTAGTTGCCACCCCCATTATGGTAACATTCACAGCACCCCTCTGCTTGTGTGTATTGTCTGCTGTTAGTAGCAAAACTGACTTGTAAAAGTGGTAGAAATGAGTCTGGGGGTCAGTGGAGTCGAGGTCTTGGAACGTATCCCTATTTGTTATGTTGTAAATTCTCTTTATGCGAATTTGAGCTATACACCATTTTCCAGGAACACATGTACAGCCTAAAGTGAGGGAAACCTGTAAAGAGACTAATCCAGGGCATGCCTACAATATCTGAGTGGCTTGAGCACCAGGACAACAAGTGAATGTAAGTGCAGGTAACTGCCAGCTTCTCCAAGCAGAGTCTATGTACTGGAAAACCCACTGGGAGAGGAGGTCATAGTAGTGGAAAACAGCTAGATTCTCTCCTTTGTTCATATTTGTTGATATTTAATAGAGAACCAGTGTAGCATCAAAAGCCAGATGTCCTAGATGGGAAAAAATCATAGCCAGGGCAAATAGGGATATGCTGATACAGAACCTTGGCACCCTTTGGAAATATAGTAGGTATGGAGCTCAAGTGGAACTGCTGCCGGCCTCTAGTAATTCTCTATTTGGGTGTAAGTACTATATATATACATGTATATGGAAAACTATTCTTATTGACATTATTTAATGCGTAGGAAATAATTGAAGAATGTTCTTCTAGATTATGTTCTCACTGAAAGGAGATGTTTCTCTTTCTGTTGAGGTAACTACTGTACTGAAAAATCCCAGTGGAGGCAAAGAACCAGTAAGTTTTATTGGAAAGAGGATTGGGGGGGGGGGTCAACTGTATACCTCCTGCTTGTGGTTGACTTACCTCATTTACCCCACAGTAAAACCACAGTACATTCCACTCACTTGGATTGTAATGTGCATCTGTTACCCCATGGTAAAAATACACCTTTTCTTTAGCAGGAAGACAAAGCCCCAAGGTGAATAACCTCTGCATCTCCAGGAGATTCACCTTAGACAAGAGAAGTATAATTTACATCTTCTTGTATCAGTGTCAGTGAATCTGGCACTAAGTGCTTAAGGCACTTAAATGGGAATTGTTGCCATATTGCTTTGCCTATTGTCTTAAAACCAGAGGGTACTTTGAACTGTAATAGGTTAATTTGTCTGCCTTTTTGCTAAGCCATGTAACCACGTGGCTGCATGGATTGTCTTGTAGAGTGACAGCACAAATAAAAGTTCTTGCATGTTTAAGGTGACTCTACTGTGCCCAGAATTTGTAGTCTGAGCTGAAGAGAATTGTGGCCAAATTCTGATGCAACCAAAGCTTAATAATTTCAGAGAGACCAGGATGTTCCCCTTTCTGATCCAGAAGCAATCTAGTGTGGAGAGAGCTGTTCTTACAGGAATTTTAGAAGTGGAGTAGTGACATCTTTAAGATATAGGACAATAAGGAATGTCTTATTGACTGAAACCAACAGTATCCTGTATTTCTATATGGTATGCTGCTCCCAAAGACCTTTGTGGCTTGTTTTTTATGTAATTTGGGTAAGATGGCACATTCAACCAGGATTCCAGTTATGGAGTTATGATGAGATAGATGCGGATTATGAGACATGGTGGAATGGTTGACGTGACTGAACTATAGACATGGATGAGTATAGCTCACTCAAGAAGTATAGGCTGTGAAGAAAAATTAGATGTGTTGCCTGATATATAAGGGCACATGTTCTGAGGTGCAGTGGGGTAAGAATGCTGAAAGCCTCTGGGTGAAGGTCAAAGGAGAGCAGCAGGTCTTGATAGGTGTCTGCTATAGGCTAGGGCTGTGTGAAGCTTCAGTAGCCTATTCAATTTGAGAATTGGCCTAATTCAGCAGCCGAATCTTTGAATCTGAATTGAATCGGGAGACCCATGAATCTCTCCAAATCAAATCGGAGGCCTCCAAATTGATTCAGAGAGATTCAGAGATTCGGCCATAGACTGTACAGGCAGGCACTAGGCAGTGTTGGCAGGAGCAGCCAGGGGAGCAGCCAGACGAGCCCTGGCTTGAGCTGGCAGCCCCAAGAGAAGCCACAGCTTGTCCAGCTGCGCCCCCCACCCCAGTTGTCCCCCAACTGGGGTGAGGCAGGCAGGGCTGGCAGCCCCAGGAGATGCTGCGGGGCCTGGGGGGGAATGATCAGGAGCTTGGGGAATTGAACTGGGGAATCAAACCAGGAGCTGGGGGAAATGATCAGGGGCTGAGGGAATGAATAGGAGCTTCCCCTCAGCTCCCGGTTTGATTCCCCAGCTTTCTGTTTGATTCCCCAGTTCCCAGTTCAATCCCCCAGCTTCCAATCATTCCCTCCAGCCCCCACCGCTTGCCCTGGGGCTGCCAGCACTGCCTGCCTCACCCCAGCAGGGGGGCAGCTGGGGAAGCAGCTGGATGAGCTGCAGCTTCTCCCGGGGCTGCCGGCTCAAGCTGGGGCTTGTCCAGCTGCTCCCCCAGCTGTTCTCACCGGCACTGCCTGCCTGTATAGTTTATGGTCAAATAAAATTTGGTGCTGAATATCTTCAGATTTAGATTCAGCTGAATCAAATCGGGACAGTGAGTCAAATCACGGAATTGAATCACTGTCCCTCCGAATTGCCCAATTCAAATCCAAAGTGAACACTTTCTGCTCCATGCAGGCCTACTATAGGCCACAAAACCTGGAGGAGGTGGATTAGTCCTTCTTGAAAAACTGCTATAAGCTTCCAAATCACAGGACTTGGTTCTCTCATGGGATTTTAATTACTGGGACAACTGCTAGCAGGGAAACACAGCAGTACACAAGCAGTCCAGCAAATTCTTGGAGTGTGTTAGGGATAACTTTTTGATACAGCTGGTAGAGAGGCCAACGAGGGGGAAGCTCTTCTTGACTTGCTGCTCACAAACAAGGAGGAATTGTTTGAGACTGTGAAGGTAAATTCCACGAGGGTGGACAGTAACTTGAGTGACATGACAGTGACCGTGAAATGTTCAGGCATCTATACACGTGCTCCAGAGTGTGAGTGGGGAGGGAGGGGAGAGAGAATGTTTTAATATGAGCTGCTTTGGGGAACTGCTCTAATTAAAACACTTGCAGTGTCTTGCACTTCAAAATGGCTGTGGGGGTACTTTAACTAAAGCTCATTTTATGAGCTTTAGTTAAAGCACCCCTGCAACCATTTTGAAACGTGGGGACACCGAATACACATGACGGTGAGACTGCTGGAGTGTTCTAGTTAGAATGTGTCAGAACGGGCATCCCTTATGTGTACAGGCACCCAGCATTCAAGATCCTAAGGGAAGGAAGGAGAATAGCACAATTAAGACACTAGCCATCAGAAAAGCACATTTTAACAAACCTAGGAAAATGGTGAGCAGGATCCTGTGGGAGGCAAGTCTGAGGGGAAAAGGAGTCCAGGAGAACTGGCAGAACTTTGGGGAGGCCCTCTTCTGAGCGCAGGAGCAAGCTATCCTGATGTGACAGAAGAATGGGAAGTGCAACAGGAGGCCATCTGAGTTAGTCAGCAGTCTCTTCAAAGAGCTGAAACTCAAAAAAAGGGAATCCTATAAAAAGTGGAAACTGGATCATAGCAGTAAGAAAGCATATAAGAGTATCACACAGGTGTGCAGGGAGAAAATTAGGAAGACCAAGGTACTATTTGAGATGTAGCTGGCAAGGGACATAAAATACAATAACAAGGGATTTTACCAATACAAATACAAGGGTAAGAGGAAGACCAAAGAAAACATAGGTCCCTGACAGGGTGTAGAAGACAATCTAGTTACAGATGATGCAGAGAAGGCTGAACTATTTCATGCCTTTTTTTACTTCAGTCTTCATATATAGGGGCAGCTACCAGATTGTGTGTGCAGATGGCAAGATAGGGAGGGAGATAAACAGCTTAGAGTAACTGCAGAACAGGTTAGGGATTACTTAGAGAAACTAGATACTTTCAAGTTGGCAGGGTTGGATGGGATGCATCATATAGTACTGAAGAAAGTAATTTTAGAGCCTTTAGCTCTCATTTTTTAGAACTTGTGGGTGTTGGGTGAGGCCTTGGATGATTGAAAAAAGTAAAAAATAGTGACCTTCTTTAAGAAAGGGAAGAAGGATTCGGGGAATTACAAACCATTCACCCAGATCTCAATACCTGAAAAGATCATGGGGCAGGTAGAAGAGAACAAGCTGATTGGGAACAGCCAGCATGGATTCACTAAGATCAAGTTATGCCTGACGGACCTGATTTCTTTCTTTGATAAGGTGACAGGTTCTGTGGATGGTCAGGGAGCAGCAAATGTGATATACTTTGACTTTAGCAATGCTTTTGGTTCTGTCTCTCATGGCATTCTCATTAATACAGACTAGATGAAAGTATTGTAAAATGGATACAAAACTGGCTGGATCACCATGCTTAATGAGTAGTCAACCACGGCTTAATGTCTAGTTGGGAGGAGGTATCACATGAGGCTTCCCAGGCATCTGTCCTAGGTCCAATATTACTCAACATTATTCATGAATGATTTGGATGATGAGATTGAGTGTGTGCTTAGTAAAGTTATGGATGATGCTAAATTGGGTGGAGTTGCAGACACTTTGAAGGGCAGGTCTAGAAGCCAGAATGACCTGGTTAGACTGGAGAAATGGTCTGTAATCAATTAGAGGAGATTCAACAAGGTAAGTACAAAGTCCTGCACTTGGGACAGTCTAATTGCATGCATAAATACAGATTTGGGAAACAGTGGTTAGGCTGCAGTACTGCAGAGAAGGACCTGGGGATTACAATAAACCATATGCTGAATATGGTCAACTCTGTGCTCTTGTTGCAAAAAAAAAAGGTCAACAGCATAATAGGTTGCACTAACAAGGAGTGGCACTTGCAAATCAAAGGAAGTAATCCTTTCACTCTGTTCAGCATTGGTGAGGTCTCACTGGGAGCATTGTGTCTAGTTTCAGGCCCCACACTCCAAGAGGAGTGTGGACAGATTGGGAAGAGTCCAGTGCAGAGCAACAAAAATAATTAGATGGTTGCATGATGCCTGGGAAGCAAGACTTATAAGGAAAAGCTGATAAAACTAGGGTTGCTTCGTATGGAGAAGAGAAGACTGAGGATGGATTTGATAACAGTCTTCAAATACCTGGAGGAATATTGAAGAGAGGATAGAAGGCTGTTCCCTGTGACTGTAGGGGACAGGACTAGGAGCAATGGCCCTAAACTTCAGCAGAGGAAATTAAGGTTGGAGATTAGGAGGAACTTTTTGACTATGGGGTGGAGCAGGCTACTTTAAGAAGTTGTGGAATCTCCATCCTTGAAAATTTTCAAGACCAGGTTGGACAGATGAGTTGGTTTAGTTAGGAGCAACCTGTCTTGAGCAGGGAGCTGGACTAGATGACCTTGTGAGGTCCATTTCAGTGCTAATTTCCTCTGTTATGATTCTATAATTATCTGAACTCCTGGGTGACAGCTAATATCTTTAGATAGCTGGGAATTTCTATGAGCTTGAATTGGGAGAAAGAGAAAATAGATCACAGACATGTTTTTAGAAAAGGAGGTTTGAATAGTAGTTTGGCAAATTCAATAATTATTGCCATACTTTGCCATTAATTAATTTTATGACAATATACTTGTGATTACATGTAAGTGTATTGTATTATATTATAAGCTAATTTAAAAGATCCTATGTATATGGACCTACCACATTTGGGGTGGCTGCCCTCTGATTTATAGTCTGTGCCTGGTGCTATTTGCCATTTTTGTGGCGGAGCGTGGGGCCCCTTTGGCTGAGGGGCCCCAGAAGTCCCACCATTTGTCAATCTCTGGGGAGTGGTAAGACTTCTGGGGTTGCTTGGGAGAGCCCGCTGCACTCTGCCATGAAAATCTCCTCCCCCCCACCCCCCGCCCCCATGTTTCAGGACACCAGGGCTTCCCATTATTTTCTGTTTGCAGCTCCCCCTATTTTTCTCCCCTGCTTGCTGGCTGTTTCCACACTTTTTTGTCGGACTGGGCTTTTTTGCAGGCGACCTACTGATTTCACAGTTTCTGCGAAAATCACAAAATTGCAATTTCAGTAGGTCACTACCTATGCAGGTTGCATCCACTCCAGAGCTAGTAAATGTCAGTCTAAGCCAATGAGCAAATTTGCCATCCAGGGAAGGTAGAATGAAGTTCCCAACAACCATTCAGTTCAATGCTTTTCTCTCAGTCCCGACTTTATTTTCAAACAAAAGTTCTGAAACAGGAAACAAGAACTCATGCTAGTGGATGCCATTTAACTACTTGAGGGCTCCTTAAGCTTCTGTCACTTGGGAAGGGAGAGGATACACCTTTCCTTTTTCATAGTTTTTCCTAGGTACTAGTGTGAGACCCACAACAAGTCTCACTTTCTTGCTATCCCTGTCCCAGAGTCGGGAAACTTTATCTCTCGTTACCTCTCAGTCATACACCTACTCCCAGTCATGTGTTCTTTGACTGCTTCCTGCACCCACGCATCACAACAAGTACATTTTGTATAAATGTACCACAGTGCACGGTGCCTGCCTTGGTGCAGTCTGACTTGGTGTTGCCTCTGCAATATTAATTCTGTCCCCTTTGTACCTGTCCTGTATACTGAATGAAATAGTTGTCCTATGGGAATAAAATGTGATTGCTGAGTTGGAGGCTGGGTTACACTGGGTGCATCCACACGTGTCCCCGACTGCACAGTTGTTAGTGCACCATCATTTAGTACTTGCTGAAGTACAGTAACTGCCATTACTGCGTAGTCTTGGCAGTGCGTGGGTTGTTTCTGACCCTACTACACGCTAGTGTCAGCGTCACATTTAATGTTTGCCAACACTATGTTCCTGTAGCAATGAGCAACTCATGTAGACGCACCTAATATATATGCACAAACTTTGCTGTCCTCCTTTAAGTTTACCCGCTTCACTTGCTCTGTTGGTTCTCAAGTGTCTGCTACTTCTGCTTTAGTAGTGCCATGGGCTTGGCCTTAGAATGTATATGCTGTGTTATTATTTTGACTGGTTGCTGCAGTTTTGTTAAGGAGCGTAAGAAATAGATTTATATCTTAGCAGTACCTGAATGGAGTTTCATGGGACAAAGCTATTTAGTCAGAAGGATTTCGTTCTGCCAAAGGCTTTCTGGAGGTCTTTAAACTTCTCAAAACAAGATTTAGGAATATAAAGAACATATTATGTGGAAAGCAGCACCAAGCAACTTAAAGCTAAGAGTTCTCTACCAACTCCACTTATAATGCAGTACAGGGAGTAATATTTTTAATGTTAACATTATGCAAAAATCCTAAATGTAAGATATTCAGGTTGCATAATTTAGAAAGTAAACAAAAAGCATTTGCTCATCCTTCAGACAGCCTACTTCAGCTATTGTGGATCAGAACAGGAGGAACAGGTTGAGCCATAAACTCTTGTATTGTTTCAACCGGGGCAGCCTTTCTCTTCCACCAAAGTTAAAAGGCAACAATTTGGGAAATAATGACTCAAAAGTCAAAACAATTGCATATCCAGGAGATGTATTTTTGAATACTTCAGGAAACATGCCAAGAAATCATTTGAATTGGTTAAAGTGTATTAATTGAGCCAGGATCAAGAAGAAACATTCACTTAAGAAATAAGTGTAAAGGTTACAAAAATGGAAAGAAAAGTATAGCGTGCAATGGAAATGGCAGATTTTTGGGGGGGTTCTGATGAAGTTTGTGAAAATTGTCACAGTTACCCTATGGTACTCTATTCAGAGCCACAGTTACCCTATGGAACTCTTTTACTAATTGTTTAATGGAAATTCCAGTAACTTAGTATAATTTTAACAGGAAACTTTTGTGAAGTGGGTGGTGGTGAGCTTTGCCAGAATGCTTGGTCCTTTTGAGAAGGCGACAGGAGGCTTTGCTCCATTGCTCCTGTTTTCCTGGGAATTGGAGCACTGGAGCAGCTGCTACTCCCCACCCTTACCCCAGATCACTCGGTCTTGGGAAACCACAAGGGGCAGGGGACGGCAGTTGCAGGCTGAGCACCTATACTGCTCCCTCTTTTGTAATCTCCTCTGTTAGAAATGAGTGCCTGTTTGTGGGCTATAAATACATGATAATTACAATATTTCACCCTTGCATTGCTTTATTCCTATGATGGCCCTTTTCATGTATTAATGTTCGGCCACTACTCATTTTCACTATAAAGCCAATTTACAAATCATGAAATTGTTATGATTTCCTTGATGGCGCTGTTTGTTAAATATAATGTTTGTAAAATGTTATTCAAGCTACAGGTACTGTTTGTTTATTTATTTTCTAATCACAATTCCTGAATGATAGTAAATATGACCAGATTCACTTTTAAAGTGACTACTTGTTTCACTGAAAATTGTCTTAAGTTTCTGTGGGTTATGACTATTCTGATTTTATAATACTTCTGTGGTCAGTTGTTTCAGTCTCTGCAAAATGTGCTTGAAAACTTCTCTTTAGAATTCAAGCCAGTTGCAAAAAAATTAAATAAGGTTTGGGAAATGGAGTACATTTGATAAAACTGTAAATATCAATTGAATAATAATTTTTTACCTTAAAACAGAACAAATTGTTTTATTCTATAAATCAGCTGTCACATGGCAAGGAATTCCTTATTCTAATTTATTCTTATATTCCTTATTCTAATTTAACTGTTCATAATTTCAGAAACTCATAATTGATGAAAGCAAAATAAAATGTAGAATTAAGTCAGAGAGGGGTTTTTTAACCTTATATTTAGGTTTTATGTGTATATTTGTATTGGTTTCTCTCTTTCACACAGAGCATGAGTTGAGCATTTTTCCAAAGCCACAAAATGCTAGTTAATGGAATGGGAGTGACTTCTGGACCCACCCCTTTCTTATTTTTAACATACTGTTAACTGGGCAAACAAACAGATTTGCAATGCCATCATGGGCACCATGAAAAACACTTGAAATGTGTAATAAAAATGCTTTATATTATTAAATTTCTCCAGTGATTAAAACCATATCATAATGGCAGACATCTGTTGGACAACTTATGTGGTTACTTATTGTCTTGGTATGTGAGAAAATCCTGGAGGCTGTATGTCTCAGCCCTTCTCGCCCCTGGTGCACTGAGGATGCACAGGAAATTAAGCATATGCTCAGTGGTGGAGCTATAATAACATGGAGGTTTGGTAAAACCTGTTGAAATCAAACAGTACCTTTACATATTCTAGGCCTTGTGGAAGACAAAATGAAGGGAACTGGCTGAGACCTGCCTTTCTGCTTGATTTGATTTTTTTGATTTGATTGACTGAGAATCGGGGTTGACAGGTGGCTTGATGAACAAGAGTAGATGACAAGCATTACATCAAAATCTAGATATCATTTCAGCCATTCTCCTTATTTACCTCGTTCACTGAGAATCTTCTTGAAAGAAAAATGATTTTTTGTCTGTAGAAAACAGCCTATAAAAACCATTAATAGGAGTTCTTTTCACTAATTCTCTTTTAAAAATTAAATGATCTTTCCCTTTAATTTTTCATTCCTGGCTTTTAAAATGAAATACTCCTCTTGTTAGTGTGAAGGATTGCATTCCTGTAAACACTACTGGCAACTTTTTAAAAAGAGAATTGCTTTAAAATCAAAATAAAAGAATAATACCCCAGGCTGTTAATATACACCAAAGCTTTTTTTTTTTGTAGACATTTAAGAGTAAGTTTGCTTATTATTACCTCAAGTTAATTTCAGAAGTTTTGTGAGTATACATTTAATGGTCACTATTAAAAAGTCACCAAGGAAATATTTATTCACATAGCATACTGTAAATATGAAGAGCTTTAGACTGCTAGAGCTATGGTAACAGCATAGCAAGATACATTTGTAGGGATAACAAGTGTATCCAGAGTTTTATAATAGTAAGGAGTTAAACCTTTGTGTCAGGACATGAGTCAACCTCCAGCTAATGAGGGTTAGGAAAGAATTTTCCCTGAGGGTAGGTTATTTCATAGCTGCTTATTCCTGTGCTATGTGCCACTAAATCTGAAAGTTAGTATTGGTCATTGCTTGAAATTGGTAGCGAAGTAGATGGATCATAGATGGCTCCAGAATGGCAGTTCCTGCATTATAGTAGCACCCACAGAGTAGTGCTAAAAATACTGCCAGTTCCTTTTTCTTTGATTTGATTAAACTTGTATCAAGGTAAACAAGAGCTCCACAAAAACATAGGCTGCTCTATGCAAACCTTTCTAGGGCTGCTGCATGTTACCATCCCTTCATCCTTGCCTCTTTGAGACATTATCCCTTGCTAAGCTCTGGTGATCATAGTCATGTATGCCACCAGACTTCCATAAATCTTTATGGCTCCTTTGTGCTATGCTGGACCTGCATCTTAGTTTTGCCTAGTAAAGCAAGGTCTTGGACTTAGTCCTACAGTGCTCACTTACGCTGTTCCCAGAATATTCTGCAGCACAGGTGAGGGTATCAGAATAGTCTATGGGTTACTGGCATGTTGGTTCTTGGTTCATTACACAAAGAAAGCAGGATTAAGGTAGCATTATGTAGGTGGAATATACACATTTTTGTATTTCCTACTTAGTCCAACTTTCCTGCGATCGCATGACGGGTTACTGCTCCTCAAAGACAATGAATCTATCCAAGTGAGATGGAAAAAGCACCTTGAGGCACTCTTGAACTGTGAGTCGACTCTGGTGGTTACCACCACTGAGTCCATCCCCCAGCACCCTGAAAGGGGATCCCTTGTCAACTCTTCTATCCTAAAAGTATGGCATGCCATCAAGAAAACCAACAGCAAGGCTACTGGACCAGATGGGATACCTGCTGAAATATGGCTGGCAGCGAAGAACTGGTACCAAGTCTTCATAAATTTATTCTCTGAATTTGGAACAATGAACAGATCCCTGGAGACCTGAGGAATGCCAGCACTATGACTATCTTCAAGGAAGGAAAGAAGGCTGTGTGTGGGAACTCTTGAGGTATCACTCTCCTTTCCACAGCAGGGAAAATCCTTACCTGCATCCTCCTGAACCATTTTCTACCTCTTGCTGGAGAAGTTCTGCCAGAATCTCACTGTGGTTTCAGACCATTCCATGGGGCAACTGCCATGATCTTGGTTGCTTGCCAGGTCCAAGAAAGGTGTCGGGAACAACACCAGGACCCGTATATAGCCTTCATTGACCTTACTAAGACCTTTGATTCCATCAAGCATGAAGCTTTGTGGAAAGTACTGGCCAGATTTGGATGCCTTGAAAAGTACACCAAGGTTCTGAGGCTTCTCCATGGCCAGATTACTGAGGCTGTGCAGTGTAGTTGATCATCAGGGATCCTGGTTTTCCCTAATAAAAAATAGAAGAGTCTCTGATTAAAACCTCCCAAAGCCGTGATTAAAATGAAAGGCGCCCAACAGCTCCTCCCTGCCCTGCTGGAGGAGGATCCCAGCTGCCAGGGCTACGGGGTCAGGGACCATGGTCTGCAGCCCCCTGCCCCCAGCAGGAGGTGGTGGCTGTTGCAGTAGAGCAGAGCCTGGCTCCTCCCGCACACTGCCTACTTGCTGCAGGCTTGGGGGTGGGGGGGGCAGGGGGGGGCTCCCCATGATGTATGCTGTCCCAGGGGTCGGGGGGACCCATGCTGCCCTGATCTGTGTACGGGCCAGGGGTGGGCTTGGGTCCTGCCCTGCTGCCCTCCCTTGTCGCCTTCACAGCCCAGTGGGTGTGACCTGGAACAGCAGGGCACAGTGGAGCCACACAGGAAGGCTGCTTGCAGGTGTGAGCTTAATGCTGCCCTGGTGATGTGTCTCCTGCATGCATGGCAGCAAAGGGGCAATTGCATGGGCAGGGGATGCATTGCCGGGGCATCTCAGAGCTCTTAGCAGCAGGCAGCTTTCCTGCATGGCCCCATTGCCCTGCAGTGCCAGGTCAGACCTGCCAGGCTGCAGAGGCACTGGTGGAGGGCAGCAGGGTGGGAGCCCGAGACCACAGGGGGCAGTGTGCATCTGTCCCTACCCCACACACAGATCTGGGGGGGCATGGGTCTTTCCTGCCCACCTGGGAGTGCACACAGTGGTGGAAAGCCAGCCTCACCCTTCCACCCCCTGGATGAGCCACCCGCAGCCCAGTTCCACTCCCTACCAGGGTCCTGCAGCCACACATTGTGGACCCAGACCCTGAGCCCCATGAACTGCCCGACTGGGCAGCAGCCCCAGCCCCACACAACCTCCTCTCTCCCTATGGGGGCCTCTATTTTTCTCCTCCCCACACTTACCTGTGGGAGCTGCTCTCCAGGCTTCCTGGAGGCCATGTGTGTATACATGCACATGGTGCCCCCTGCCTGATCACCCTCCTCCCACTCCCTCCCAGCCCTTTGCAGGCTGGAACTCTGCCAGCATGTAGAGAGCTCTTTGCAAAACTGCAAACTCCATGGGTTTCTCTGTTAAAATGAGAAATCCATGTTTTCTTCCAGTAAGGGCGCTAACCTGCATTTTACTCCATTTTTCTGTGGGAAATGGAAAACCCGGATCCCTGTTGATCAGAGACAGATCCATTTGTCATCTGAACTGGGGTCAAGCAGGGATGTGTCATCATCCCAGCTCTATTCTCCTTTTTTATTTGATAGTCATCCTGGTTCAAACTAAGGATGGCTTTCTTTCTGGAATTGACTTTTGAATCCCAAATGGATGGAGGGCTCCTCAATCTGGGTCATTCTTGCTCCAAGACCAAAGTACTAAAAGCAACTGTCCTTGACCTTCAGTATGCCAATTACTGCACCCTTCTTGCTTACACCGAGAAAAACCTCCAGGCCATGTTGGATTTTTTTGGAGAAGCCTACCTAACTTTGGGTCTCTCTCTCAACATTGAGAAGACTGCCATGGGCCATGGATGTGACCCTATCCCACCAAATTACCATTAAGGAAAAGGCCCTGGAGGTAGTTGAGAACTTCTCTTACCTTGGTAGCCACCTCTCTCAGAGAGTGAGCGTTGGAGTGATCTAGCACGAGATCCAGTGCACAAGTGCCTCCTCTGGGAAATTGTTTCAGCATGTGTCTACTCATCACTCTCTCAGAAACACCAAGATCCAGGTCTACAATGCAGTCATAATACTGACTCTCCTCTACAAGTGTGAAACATTGGTGACCTACTGTTGTCATCTCAAAAACCTCTTGAAGTATCACCAAGAATGCTTTCCAAAAATCCTGGGCATCAACTGGGAAGATTTTCACAAACACCAGTGTCCTGGCTAGTGTTACCAGTATTGAGTTAGTTTTTATTTAATGTATGTGGTTTCAGCCATCTTAAGGTGATGTCATCACCAGTGTGAACAGCTTGTAGGCCACCAAGTAGCATAGTAAAAGGACACGAGTCAACAATGTGGGACATGGATTGAGCTTTTCCCCAAGGGCATTTGTTGTCATTGTGAAGGCCTCATTGGTATAAGTTTGAGGTATAGTGACCCTGTACAGTTAAAAAATGGTTGACAGTGCCCAATAATAGTGTGGCCAGTTAGAATCTGGTTGACTGATTATAGGGTCAGAGATTATGTGGTGATTGATTGGGGCTTGTGTTGACAATTTTTCATAGCATCGAGTAAATAAGAAAAAGTCAGAGGGTTTTGAAAAGGTGGACCATATTGGATGTCTGGAGGGGAGCTGCACTATTCGTGGGTGGAATATGTCTCAATGTACTGGCAGGATAGGGTAATCATGGAGTCTGGCTAGTAAGTTCACTATGATATTTCTATGGTGGGTATAATGGGGAGCAATGCTACTGAGGATGGGTAACCATGGGAGTGGAGTTGGATGCAATGTGCCTGACACAAGAGGCATTGTAGTTGGATGATCCTCAAGCAGTAACTTGGCTGGACTGGACATTGTGTGCTGACACCCAACTCTCTACTTCCAGCTTCATAGCAGCCTGAGATCTTGC